GTAAGCTGAATGGTACATTTTGTTTCTTACCAAAAATTAATGGGAAACATTTTTCATTAGAATGTTATTGCAGATTATTTAAAGGTTCCTTATTTCTAAAAAAAGGGGCCCTCATAACATATCCTAGCTTGAGTTCAGAAAAGTGGCCATAACTTGATTTCCGTACGGTAAACCTTTTTAAATTTTGCATACAGGTGTACCACCTAAGGGTTCTGAATGAAGGAAGGTAAATTATTGTCCATTACCAGCCCAGCAAGTTTCTTCAACAGAAATAGGAGTATGAGTTCAAAAATACTACCAGTCAGCAGAATCCAATACAGCAAAGATAAGGTAGAAAACAATTTGAATGTGAGGCATAATAAATATATATATTTCATCACTGTCAACCTGTAAACATGTTTTGGCTTTAATAAAGTGAAGATCTCGAGAGAAAATTAAATGCATTGTCAGTTTTGGTCTTTCTATGTCCGCCGCTAAATTCCATTTTATGACTCCGTTTATTTGTATGCAATATGTCGGGACATTCCTATTAGGCCTCACATCTATTTTAAACAATTTTAATTGCACTGTGCCGCTATGATAATGTGAGAGTGATGAAGCATTTTTTGTGTACACAAAAGTTTACAATCTTTGTCTGAATAGGTAAAGCAGGTTTTTAGAAGAGAATATAGTACAAGATAAAAAATAGAATTTTAAATGTCCGGATTGGCAAAGTTGGTAAAGTCAGTGATATGCAATACAACTTTTTTGTTTCCCTATTTTTTCTGTTTTACTAAAGATGCAAATGAATTTGAAAATAAAGGTAGTTTTGTTATAATATCTAATAATGTTAATATACCAGTAAAAATATCTTTTATCCTGTGTAGTGTGTAGTATGCAGTAGTCATAGTACTTGTGCAGTGCTAGAGTATTTCGTGCTATCTGAAAGATAGTTGAAATAATTTGTGTATATGTAATCATTCCATCTTGTATTCAGTATAATGTTGCACCAAAACAAACAAAAATGTGAAGTGAGAAGTTAATAGAAATTACAAACTTTATACTTCTTTACGTCAAGATGATATAATTCTATTTGATTGTTTATAATAATATAAAACTTATTTTAAATTTGCGAAAAAAAGTACAATACTCACTAGTCTTGCATTGATATTTAATTACAAGATTATCTGACAAGCTTACCTACTGCATTACGCTGACAGTTGATTAATTTGTCGATTTTTTAAATTTTTATCGCAAGCCTGCGTGCCTAAAGATAATATACACAATATGATAACACCGTTTAACACCGTAAAAGTGGACTTGACCACCACGTCACGTACTAAATTATTATCCTAAACGTACAGTAATGTACCTCAATCATAATTGTCATCAGTTGTATCATCGCATCACGTTGTTTATTTCATTATCACAAAGAAGAAGAAGAGACTTAGAATGTTTTATTTAACTCGTTATACATAAAACTAATATAGAAAAAGTTAGTCTCACAATTTAACAAAATTAATTATTATCTGGAGAATAAGCTCTAATGAATATGAAATTAGTGTTGAATACAAGATTCTATGTCATTAATGAAGTATTTAACAGTGAATATATTAAAGACTGTTATAGTCTTGCATATAAATTCAATAAATCTTTTATTCTTTTTTTTCACGTGGCGCAATAGATAAAAGTGTACGTTTTTTAATTGATCTATTATTTAACTAAGCATTTATATACAATTCTACATACTAGGTTTATAATTGAAATGAAGTAATAAGTAGTCGAACTCTTAAATCACGGTCAGCATTGCTTATAAGAATAAAACTATTTTCTTCTTCTGTCTCGGTGTATTGACAGAGTTCGCATAATATTATTCAAGTAATTAGTTTAATTGATATTTGTACTTATTATAAAATACATTTGACAACTATGATTGGTTCGGTGTAATAACTTATAATAAGAAACTAAGCATAAGTAAGTCATTGTGATAGAAATATTAAGGACGTGGGTACTTTTGCTGCAGGTTTTAAAGTTTGATGCTATTAAAACTAAGCGGCTATTACCTGTAACTTGTTCTTATAGTTACTTTTAACTAACAATTCACCGTGTTGATAAAATACATTTTGACAGATTTAAAACCATGATCTCACAAAGTTTGCAGAATTCTCAAGTTTATATATGGAACGCCGTGACTGTCTTATGTTATTAATGTTTTTGCTATCTTGTGAAACGATAATATTATTTTGTCGTTTGAGCATGTTAACATGTGCAAATTACATCACGTCTTGTCAAAGGAACATGCTGACTTGTACAAACAGCATGTTAACTTGTCAAATTATTATGATGACATGTGCAGACAACATGCTAACTTGTCAAAGTATTGTGATGACATGTGCAAACGACATGTTAACTTGTCAAAATATCATGATGACTTGTGCAAACGACATGTTAACTTGTCAAGATTTCATGATGACATGTGCAAACAGCATGTTAACTTGTCGAATTATCGTGATGACATGCTCATAATACCTTAACATGTAAACATGTGTTTTGCACAAGTCATCACGATTCTTTGCAAATTAACATGTTGTCTGCACAAGTCATCATGATACGTTGACAAGTTAACATGGCATTTGCACAAGTCATCATGATACATTGACAAGTTAACATGCTGTTCGCACATGTCATCATGAAATGTTGACAAGTTAACATGTCGCTTTCACAAGTCACCATGATACTTGGACAAGATAGCATGTTGTTTGCACATGTTATCACGATGATCTGACAAGTTAACATACTGTTTTTACATGTCATCATGAAATTTTGACAAGTTAGTATAGCATTTGCACAAGTCATAATTATACTTGGACAAGTTTACATGTCGTTTGCACAAGATGTCATGATACTTGAACAAGTTAACATGCTGTATGCACATGTCATAACGATAATTCGACAAGTTAACATGCTGTTTACACATGTCATCATGGAATTTTTACATGTTAGCATGGTATTTGCACAAGTCATCATGATACTTTGACAAGTTAACAGTACGTTTTGACATGTCAGTATGTCATTTGCACAAGTCATCACGATTCTTTGACAAGTTCACATGTTGTCTTCACAAGTCATCATGGTTATTTGACATGTTAACATGCTGTTTGCACAAGTCATCATGATACTTGGACAAGTTAACATGCTGTATGCACATGTCATCACGATAATTCGACAAGTTAACATGTCGTTTTCACAAGTCATCATTAAACTTTGACAAGTTAACATGCTGTTTGCACATGTCATCACAATATTTCGACAAGTTAACATGTCGTTTGCACAAGTCATCATAATACTTTGACAAGTTAACAGTACGGTTTGACATGTCAGTATGATACAAGATAACATGTCATTTGCACAAGTCATCACGATTCTTTGACAAGTTCACATGTTGTCTTCACAAGTCATCATGGTTATTTGACATGTTAACATGCTGTTTGCACAAGTCATCATGATACTTTGACAAGTTAACATGCTGTTTGCACATGTCATCACGATAATTCGACAAGTTAACATGTCGTTTTCACAAGTCATCATTAAACTTTGACAAGTTAACATGGCGTTTGCACAAGTCATCATGACACTTTGACAAGTTAACATGCTGTTTGCACATGTCATCACAATAATTCGACAAGTTAACATGTCGTTTGCACAAGTCATCATTACATTTTGACAAGTTACCGTGTCATTTGCACAAGTCATCATTATACTTTGACAAGTTAACATGTTGTTTGCACAAGTCATCACGATACTTTGACAAGTTAGCATGTTGTCTGCACATGTCATCATAATAATTTGACAAGTTAACATGCTGTTTGTACAAGTCAGCATGTTCCTTTGACAAGACGTGATGTAATTTGCACATGTTAACATGCTCAAACGACAAAATAATATTATCGTTTCACAAGATAGCAAAAATATTAATAACATAAGACAGTCACGGCGTTCCATATTTATACATAAAATTTATACAGAAGGAATTAATGAACTTTTTTTTCATAATTGTTTAATAATAGTGAGTTATCATCTGCAAATAATGTGTAATTTCGTTTTCATCACTATTTATAAGTAAGTGTATCCCTTTAACACCATTACATTGTTATATTTTCATAGCTAATATAACTGCAAATTAAATGAAAATGTAACAGTCAAATAGGATCACCTTGTCTACAGTCTTGTTTACTTTGTAGAATGTAGATAGATAAACATTAAATTTCCATACCATAGATTTCCGTATTGTATCATAGCTCTTGGTTATTTGATGAATCATAACTCACTTAACTCATTCTGAAAATTATGAAGTCTGTTGTCAGATTATGCTTTGTAAACAAACTTTCATTCCTCACCCACTTTTTTTTAAAAAAAACTTGTATTTCTTAATATATGTTTCTTAACAAAGTTCATTATAAATAATACGTTAATGTGTTTATTTCTAAACAAATACGTAATCAATATTACATACTGGAAAACAATAGTGTATTTTTTAATTTACTCAATTTTTGTTCTTCCTCGAGATTGATTCTTGAAAGATCCCACGCTATTAATAAAGTTCTTTCTCATTATATAAACGTGTTTGATCGAGAACGAATATCACTTGTGGTAAACCAATCAATCGCGACAATCTTATAAAAATAACACATGGCCGTCGGTGTGATGGAGGATATTGTCAACCCGAGAATTGGTATATTACCCCGAAGCGCAGCCAACCTATAAATATAAGAAATAAAAATGTAGACAGGAGAGATATTGTCTGCTTACTAATTTAACAACCCTCTTTTAGGGTTATAACTTGTCAAAAATATAATTAATGTTATAGCTGATTTATCTTTTTCTTAACAAACACCCCTCTATAATCTTTTTAACATACTGGTTACCGGCAAGAACCAAAGCCGGGGTCACACGTCTTCGCAAAACATGTTCCTGTTCTCCCTAACAATAAAAACATATTAACAGAAATTTTCTTCATATAGGCAATGAGCTCGTTAGTTGTTGTAGCCATTGATTTTGGGACAACGTACTCAGGATGGGCGTTTTCATACAAGTCTGACTATGAACGAGATCCTCTGAAGATAACAGCAAAGAATATTCCACACTCAACTTTATCACTTAAAGGTACAATATTATCCACTTCAGTTTACTCATTTGAAAAAATAGGATGACTCTATTGTCTTAAATTATTATTAACGAACTTGTTCAGTATCAAAATTTTCCATCCCTAGTGAAACTGAGAGTATATATAGTCTATTATCAAAGCATATGTATCATTTGATAATACATTGGTTTTCTAAAACATATACATGTATCGACAATTTGAGAAAGGGTATTTGAAATGAATCATTTCGTATTTAAGTCGTTCATTACGTATTTTAGTCGTATTACAGTCGTATTACAGTCATTTCGTAATAAATGTACATGTACTTATCAAATTGCGGTTTCCGTTATGACTATTATATTTGCCCGCGCGAAGCACGTCCGGATATCTAAGTATAGATATAACTATTTGGTAATATCTCGGACAATCATAAGTGTAAATGTCTTACACAAATTGTACGTTAGGTGATTGGATGGGGAACTTTTATCAACTTTAAACTGATGTTCAATATTTAGTACGATGCATAACATATATTTAATTGTTATGCTTAAAGTTTATTTGATGAGTTTGTTTTTAAATATTTATCATTTTGACATGGTATGTTGCCCATGAGCAACCTTTCACTGAGGCCGCATTGAGCGATATAAGATACATGTTGTTATATATAATACGTTACATAAATGTGTTCTTCCTTTAGTTTTATTTAAGTGTCAGCGGGACTTTCAATAATATATAATTCACGATAACACAATCTGTCCGACAAGAAAGTATTTAGTTTCCGTCTGAGCAGGTTCTAGCAGGATAATGACGGTACTAAACTTTAGTGGCGTGTACAAAACATGCAATAACAAAAGTTATCAGAATTTTTATAGAAATGTTGTTAACTAAACAATATGATTTCCTTCTTCGTTGAAATTTTACCATAATTTTCTAGAAAAGTGCTGTAAAATATGAGTAAGAACACACAGTACTTCGAGTGTCAAAGCATCATCGTGACCTCACAGTCAGCTCTTTACATTGAACTGGCCTTCAGTCCGATAAATGTTCGCGTTCTTACTGATCGGTCACAGTAATTCAATGAGGCCCTTAATCCTGTATACTTTTTTGTCATAAATTGAAAATTACATTCCAAAATTCTATTTAGTAGACAAAATATCGGCGATGCGATGTTACTCGATCGTCCTATCGTTTATTTTCAATTTTCAAAACATGATTTGATAAACTAATTAAGTCATTAAGTTTTCAAGTTTTAAGTATGTCTATTGTCCTATTCGTATCATATGCACCGTTAAATTTCTGAGAAAAATTGTCTTTCTTACAACAAGTCAAAACAATGGGAATCCATTGCTTTTAAAGGCCTAATGTGTATGCTTATACATGTAATTATGAACATGAATTGGAAAAATAACTAATAACGAAAATAATAATTTAATGTTCGGTTATTTTTATTATAAATCTCAATATGATAAAAGTTATTATTATTATTATTCAAATATCAATCTCACGCAAATGTCCTTGACAACTGTGTGTATTTTGTTTCTACTGATGCCAAATCAAAACTAAAACTGTATTGGTTTCAGTTCCGACGTGCATTCTTATAAACTCTGATGGAACAACGCCAGATTCTTTCGGTTATGATGCTGAGGACAGATATGCTGAAATATGCGAGAAAAAGGAACAACATGAATGGTTCTTCTTCAAAAGATTTAAAATGATGCTTTTTAAAGAAAATGTATGTATAAAATGAATGCCACATATTAAATAAATACGTACATAAGTACGTGCACGCATTCAAACCTTTATCTATCCATGTCTTTCTCCCTCCCTGTCTGCAAAGACGAGGGCAAAATGTGACATTCCCTGAGTTATTAAGAATTTTTCATGTGACATAATTACTCTTCCCTTAAAACTTGAACTGGTATATTGCTAGACAATTAATTTCGTACACACATGTGAAATTGTAACTGCATTTTTGTAGTATGCAGCGAGGAGGAAATTTCTTACATAATTCAGAATTCATTACATGTACGAGTTATTATATAGTGAAATCTCTAATTAGAAAGTGATCACACGTAAACAAAACGTACATATGAATAAATGAGTGAGTTTGTTATAAATTAATCGTACCAAAGGTATATAAGGGCAAAATAAAACAGTATGGGTGTGGGAAATTGAAATTGTGATACTTAAATGAAGAAATTGTTTTTAAGTTAAAATGCCTAGTTTAAAATCATAGGGATCTTCCGCATCGCAACCTTAATTAAACAAGAATTACCTCAGCAAAATGCAAAATGATAGAGCTGATCCCATATTAAAAATAATAAATTCATTAAAGTGCCTGTGCATACTTATGAAAATTTGTTTGAAATATATCTGAACTTAATGACGAAAAAAGAATGACATGAACGTTTAGTTTTGAGATTTATTCTTTTTATAGTTACTGTTCAACTTTGACCAACTCATTGTTTCATTTTACCCCTCGCCAGGGGCAATGTTAATCACACAAAAATGTTTTGCAGTAATTTATAAAGAAAAGTAAAGTTAAATTGAAGTAAAATAATACAAAAGAGATTCATAATTGAGCTTGTAATAATGAAAAAACAGTTTCGATTTGTCACGGTTTCCTTATCAAGCTATCAATTAAGATAATCTATTTCCGCTTAAGTACGTATAAAATAGTATACATTAATCATTTCGCGGGATTTTTCAGACAGTGAACTTGAAATTACTAACAAAAACATGTATCGAATATTTAAGAAATTAATTGAATATTGTAGCTTATGTTAAGGGGAATACCGCTGATACACTAGAAGATGAGATGGAAAAAACTATGGGAAATGGGGGTTTTCTCCTATCCATTGTTTTATTAAGAAGGATTTTCTATACTCTAAAAAATCACATTGATGCCATTTTTATTGCTTGAAAACACGGGGTTTCTTACTTTCCAGCAATTTAGGGAAACGATGCACAAACTTTATGAAGGGAGGCACAAAACAGGTATATCGCATCAGTCATATTTAATAATCAAAACGGATAAAACTATTTAAATTAGTTAATGCTTTTAGTGTAAAGAATCAAGCCATTAATAATATGCCTATAGATTCATACTAGTATGTTACAGATTTCAGAACCTGATCATTTACGAACCTTTACTAAAGACGGGAACTATTCATATAACCGTATGCAATCACTGCCCCTCGATATTCGCGCATGTAATAAAAATATATTTACATAGTTATTTCCATTATTTTCATATTTTCTTTTCATACGATATTTATTTTACGAATCTAAGCTAATTTGAATATTTACTTTATCCAGTCTTATTAACCTTTTGATTTTATAGGCTAAGATTTCAGGAAACCTAAGGTTATGTCTTGAACCTGAAGCCGCATCTATTTATTGTCGACATCTTCCAGTGTCAATAGGTACCAAACAAGAAGTTACATCTATTTCCCAGTTTTCACCAGGAACAAAATATATTGTCCTTGACGCAGGAGGTATTCTTCTTAAATGAATAACTAAAACGAAACGCGAAAACAAACTGTTTTCTTATTTTATAAACTTTTGCATACATGTATTATCTTGTCTAAACCTGTCAGAAAAAATCCTTTGTATTTTCATTTGAATGCAAGTAATATGCTTGCTAATTTTCTTTTTAATTTTTAAGAGAAAAGATTTTGGGGTTAATTTTTTGTTCTTTTAACGGGGGAACATTGACATAATTCATAAAACTGACAATGGAATTTGAAGAACCCCAAAAGCAAGGGGCGGGTGCTGGGGGGGAACTAAAGAAATAAAGTTTTTAAAGGGTTCTACAAGTATTGTGGTAGGTTACTCATATTTGACACAAAGAAATATTTGATAGTGAACCATTTTTTTAAATCATAACTTACACAGAATAAGTGAATATGTAACAGTAACGGTAACCTTTACGAAAAAAAAGTTTTCGAAATAAGCTTTTAGAGCTTCCTACGAAAGCCGTAAAATTATTTTTATGTCTTATTTCGTGCAAATGCAAAGAAAATAAAAATTCTTTTAAAAACCTTAAGTTTGGATAAATTATCGAAGGTGTTAACACAGACTTCTTTAGATTAGGACTTTTTATCGTAGTATGAACTTAGATATGTTTCACTTTGTACTTACCAATATAATAGCAATGATATATCAGATGAACCAGGGTTTAATTTACTTTATCAATCAATCATATTACAGGACCTGTTGTCATCTCAAAGCTCAAAAGTCAATATTTAGAGGATTACATTTACCTTTTCCGTGAATTTGAAATCAAAAAACGCAACATTATTCAAACTACAAGATCCATGACTATGCGTTTTCCAGCTAGCCTTTCTGACTTATGTCTAGAAGTCGAAGAAACGGAATTAAGTGAATTAATACGACAGTCTAGATTTGAAAGCAAAGTCCAAGTTTTACGAGATAAATTGAAAATCGATGGTGCTGTTTTCAACGAGATTTTTGAACCAACCGTTCGCAAAATAATAAGTCATGTCAAATATTTATTGACGACACCTTCAGTTGATGGTTGTGCTGCTATTCTAATGGTTGGTGGATTTTCTGAATCATCCGTGTTGCAAACGAATGTAAAGTCCACATTCAAACACCTGAAAGTAATCGTTCCAGACGACGCAGGATTAGCAGTCTTAAAAGGAGCTGTCATCTTCGGGCACAAACCTACAACAATAACTGAAAGAATATGCAGGTTTACATACGGGAAGAATACTTCTCATAGGTACAGTGAGAGCTGCAAACATCGGATGGGAAGAGTTGAAAAGGATAAAAATGGAGATATCAGATGTTATGACTTATTCGACATTCATGTTAAAGCAGGACAGTCCATTAAGGTGGATGAAGAACAACCAGAGGCAATATACACACCTATTACCGATAGCCAAACCCGGATTACCGCCGGGGTATATGCATCCTCTTCAACAAATCCGCAGCATACTACAGAAGATGGATGCAAACGCATAGGAACATTGATAGTGCCTATTTCTGACACAAGCTCTGGAAGAAACCACGAATTTGGAATAAGTTTTATTTTTGGAGGGACCGAGATTGTTGTAAAAGTCGTTGACAAGGAGTCGGGTGAAATGATGTTAAAATCTGTTGATTTTCTTGGATAAGATATAACCAAAGTAAGTTAGAACACTAAACCAGACATTTCTACTTTTTATTGTTTAATTTTGTTAGTATGAAACAATGTTATTCTTGTTTCATATATACTAAATACATGTACATAATTATAGTTTTGTTTAAACACTTACAGCACACTGCGGTTATTACATAAGCCTTACATAATGCTGGTAAAGATTGCTATTTACATATCATATACCTTAGTTTTGTAAAGCATTCCGTTCATTTTCTGTCGTGGACGATAAATATTTTGATGGCATTTGAATGCAATTGGTATTGAAACATCTATAAGTCTTACTAACTATTATATAATAACTCTTATTATCACACTTGTAAGTTAGAAAATGCTTATTTAGTTAAAGCAATAGATCAGATTTGTGTAAGAATGATTTTCCCATTAGAATGATTGAAAAGTTCAATATTTCCATTTGTGCTACAGCATATGCTTTCAATAAAGACTTATACACATGTATTAATCAGGAGTGTAAACTAACACATAATATGTACTAATTTATTATAAAATCAAGTATATTGAATAAAAGAAAAATAACACAACACACACAAAAACTTGTTTATGTTGTATTTGCTTTAAAATGAATTTTAATAAAAATTATCCTGTTGAATTTGTGAAGAGGATTTGCCCTGCTTTTAATTAGCAATAGTCCAATGGCAATTGAATACCAAGGGGGTTTAATTATCAAAAAACAACATTGAGCCAACAGTATAGAGTCTTTACAACTCATATGGATGTTTAGACTAGTTTGGCTTTTATTCATGACAACGGCTTATCATTTTCAAGTCCATCAGGTTATGTGGTTAAGATTTTGACAGTAAAATGTATCTTTAGCTATTAGAGCGACCATGGAACCGCTACTATTTGTAATGTATACGGTCGTTTCGTAAAATTTTCTGTAATAAAATATGTTAATGATACATTTAGCAGTGACTTTGATTGATTCTTAAAACATAAAAACAAGCTAAATAATTGACATATCGAACACATGCACGGGGTATTACCGGATAAGTAAATGGTCGCTTGTGGAGAAATTAGTAAATACTGTTTCATTATCCAAGAAGGCTGGTTAGGTAGATTGACTACCTAGATACGACCAAAAATTGTGTTTTAATCGGCGTAAAAAACAATTTGAAAAACATGGATCTATTTTTCGACGGTTTGAAGGTCTTTTCGTATAAAAATCCTTTAATTCTTGATGAACCATTCCAAACACAACTAAACTGTATCTAACGCAAAGGCCCTTGCATTGTTCAACGATGTTCTTTGCTACTTCATCCCTGCGCCCTTTGATGTTTGTATCAATGGTTTTCTTGCTTCCCTTCGAAAAGGGGTCGGGGATAATCCTCAGTGTACTTAGTATACGAAGATGCAAAAATGTAAATTGTGTTAGTTTTTTAAACATTTAAATAAAGCCTTCATAAACAACATTTTATTAAGTTCATAAACGCCTGTTGAAAATGTTCCTATTGATTATTTATCCATAAAACAGCATGCCTTTGGACTGACAAAAACGTCTAACAAATTTCAAGTAAATATTCAAACAGTTGTTGATTGTGCAAAAAAGAGTGGTTTCACACAATTTTCTTAAAAGTATAAAAACAAGCAAAACCTCTTGAAAACTGGGTGGAAACATTTTTAAAAGTTCACTCAGTTGGTTGCAACCTGAACGCAACTCCACGGTTAACAAATGAAATGCTGATGGTAATCGGAAGACGTTTCGAAATAAATTGCATGATTGTACAATGTCATAGGAAGTTGATTCTTTCCAACATTTTTTTAATGTACCGCCCGCAGAATCATTTCCTCCAAAGTGGGCCTGGAACAAAGCTGGATAGAGTAGATGTTTCTGAATCACTGTCATATTAGCCTTTCCTATTACAACTGTAAATGGTATTGCGACAAGGCTGCTGAGATTTGAATAAATCATTCTTGATCTCAAAGAAAACCAATGAAAACACTTGGATTTTACACAAGTTTACTACTATGTCATGCCTACTATATCTCTTGGTCTGGAAATAAATGATAAGTAAACGTTGAATTTCTTGTTAAAAAATCAGACCAAATTGTTAGATATATATTTTGTGAAAAAAATACGACAGCTAAAATATTCGATTAAACATTCTATGATCCATTGCCGATTACACAAGTGACAGTTGTAGGGATTGACAGATGTGATACTTAAGAAGAATAAATTGTGACTCCTATTTGCGCTCCATGCGAGGCTTTCATTTTGAAGCGCCCTCAACGGAAAGTTGAACAAGTTAAATTTCTTTTAAGTTTGCAAAATGCTGCATAATTGACGACGTCAAAATCTCATACAATTGACACACAACTCATAATAAGAATTTTAGACAACCGAAAATGGCTGACCGTCGCTCAGCCATTTGCAATTATTGAAAAGTTCACAAGAAATTTAATTTAGGGAAACTTCGCAGCTTATTTTTTATAGGTTTCGGTACATTGTCTATCCTGGTTAGTTTTAAAATTTATTGTACAAAATGTTCTTTATTTCTGACGTACTAGGCAGTAACTTTGCCTAAAAGACCCTCACCAAATTTATTTAAATTCAAACCTTAGAAACAAACTAAAACGCGCCCGAGGAAGCACTTGATATTACAAAACTTTTAATACTTTGAAAACTATCACTTTAGGTGCCGCTCAATACTACAGAGCAACAATTCAAACTTTAGAAATATGTTTAAATTTTTTAAACATGCCATTTCAAAGATTGTCAAAATACTGTTAGTTAAATTTATTAGATTTCCTATATTGTAGCTGCCATTTTTATAACTGCAAGTTAAGTTAAAATCAATTTATTTCATAATCTACACAATAAGTACACATAATAATTAAATTCAAAACAAGAAAGTCGTGATGGCTCTTGATCGCTCACCTGTGGTGTGGTTTATATGGGAACAATTTCATTATTTGCCTAATCATATAAAGTTGCATCAAAACTATTTACTCGAATCAATCACTTAAATCTTATTTCTATATTGAGTGTGCAGGCGGCTATCTGGCTTTTCAGATAATGATTTAATCAACATTAATTTAATTTAAAATTGTATCACTAAATGTTTTTTTTTTATTGAATTCATTTAATAATCAAAATTTTGACCTAGCGGTCCAGAAAATATTGATAAAAGTTAATTTCTGCTTTTAGATATGGCAGCCATCTTGATCAACCGGCTTGAGTCTATCCTTTATTTTGGAAAAGACCATTTAATGATATTTTCTATAGTTTTATTAGTTAAAATGGATAGAGTAGAATAATAGCTCCTTGATACGCAACGTATTGCCTCCTTCTATTCTAAATTAAAATTGAAACAAATTTACAAAAACGGGTAGATAATTTAAAACTATGACCAAACTGGCTCGATGTTATTGCATTCTTCACCTTTAGTAGTCACAATATATCATATTTCCGAATAAGTTCGGGGTCAGTCTCTAGCATCCTACTGGAGGTAATGGGTGAGAAAATTGCGTAAAGAGTAGACAATTTGAAAAAAGACTAGTAATGTTTTAAGATAATGATCCCCTGTTGATCATAGTAATTGTTTAAGTTAATGTTCTCCTAATGACATGATTGATCATAGTTATAGTTTTAAATAATGTTCTCCCATTGATCTTAGTAATAGTTTAAGATGTCATTGTCATATTGATAGTTTAAGTTAATGTTTTCCTATTGGTTTAAGTAATAGTTTTAAATAATGTTCTCCAAATGATCTTAGTAATAGTTTCAGATATTATTTTCCTATTGATTATAGTTATAATTTAAGTTAGTGTTCCCCTATTGATGTAAGTAAAAGCTTTAGTTAATGTTCTCCTTTTGATCATAGGAAAAGTTTACGATAATGTTCTCCTATTTATTATAGTAATATTTTGAGACAATGTTTTGTTTTATTATTTGTAGTAACAGTTTCGGATATTGTTCTCAGAGAACTGTTCCTATTGATCGTAATAATATTTAAGATAATGTTCGTCCATTGATCATGTATTCAAGTCTATTATCAATCCTTTAAAAAGCTTTAGAGTTATGCCTTCAACAAGAAAAAATGCAGCCAAATTGCTAAAAGGGATATAATTAAAGCTGCATGCCTCCTAATGAGCCAAGATAATTCAAGAAAACCAAACTTAAGAAAAATGTACCATGCTTTTAAGAACAGAAAAATGATTCAAGTAATTATTCATTTGTTATGTGCAAATTATGACTAACTTTGTAGTATTTAGCATTATGTTTCTATTGCGTGAATATCGCAGTAATAATTTTACCTCGTCCTTAGGTAATTTACACGAATCCCTACCTGAACTTTAGATTCTTTCATATGAGGACGCTTTCCAGCTAGCTGACAGAAGGTCGGTGCCCGTTCGTACCTGAAATAATGCACGGAAGGGTACCTGAGGTCTTCCTCCACCAGTATAGTTGAAATGCCTCCATATGACCTATACTTGTCGGTGTGACGTAAAATCCAAACAAACTTTCTTGTTAATTTTTATTGTTAAAAAATGGTGGCGTATTACCGGTTCATACATGATATCGGAATTTTAGGGTATATTGAGGTTTGCATACATTGTTGAGTACAATACTCATTTAATTTGACGAAGCTGTCAAACCTTGATTGGACCTGTGCACGAAATAACGTCGAGAAACATTTGATAGAATACGACAATTAAAAGATGGAACAAATGGTCGAATACGACAAAGTATAGATCTGAATTAAAATTATATAGAAAAGAATATAATGTCTAATATTGTCGACAAGATTTCGAAATAACTCCAAAAACACAGGAATATACTAAAACGAAAGTAGGCGGAAGTAAATGGATGCACTTGATTCATAATGTATTCTAATTCATTCTGATCTATGTAATCAATATAACAGTAGGAGACACCTCTGCGAGACTATGTCGAATTATAATGCACTTCATTATTCGGTCAAGTGCCGTAGATTAAGATATTTTTCGACCGTTTGT